ACAGCATGCTACTACACTTCAGGAATTTAATCGAGCAGGTGGTGAGCTGTTTGATCAGGTAGCTTATACACAGGATCAAAGCAGCGACTTCGTTTCAAACTATCACGATTACCGCTAATAGGAACTTCAATCATCAACTCGGCATTAACCACAGCAGATTTTCAGACCAACACCATTTGGAGCCTAGATCTCTGTTTTCGCTCGAAAAAATGACTGAGAGCAGAGAATGTGGTTCTTACCTTTGCAAAAGTGGATTCTAACTCCGGCCAGAGAGAAAATTAGAGAATGGATGTCCTGGAAATGTCACCAACGAATATCGGAACCGATTGTGGAGAATCGAGCACGATCTGACTTCTTCGAGCCTCCCAGCTGCGATATAGAGGAGAACATGGCACGGCGGCAAGGAGATGAACGGCAGCGGTTTGCGGTGGCTCCGACATCCAGAGAGCACCTCAAGATCATAATCAAACTCTAAAGTCTTTCTCCGAACTCACGTTCCTAAAATCTTCAGAGCTTGATGATGAAATGAGAGAGCTTTCGGTTCATTGGCCTATTCGGAAACCGGACCAGAACCAATCCCTTTGGTTCGGTTCTCGATTCCGGAGTGGGAACCGATCACCCCTATATTCATGGAAGCTTCATCTGCTTTAAGATCAAGCTCTGAACAGTTTGTAAATCCAATTTATTCGTTCTAAGTTGAAGAAAACTGCATATTTAAGAGCTTCAATTCCTTTTGTTTCGTCTTTAACATTTTAGCGCAAAAGCTTTTCTGGGGTTCGTCTTTCGTAGCTACGTCCTTATAACACGTCCACGTCATGACTACATCCTTATAACGAGGTACATGGACATGTTGATTGTCAAAAGAGGGTAGATCCCACCCAATCAACAATGTAGGCAATATCTCACTGAAAGACACATCCTACCATACCCAAATAGCTAAAAATAAATCTTGAGTTGGGTTAGATATGTGTCAGGCAATGGATCAATGAATTTGCTTTGTAAAATAATTAATCAAAACAGATCATTTTGACCAGACCCAAATCGGACCCAACCGAAGCCGACCTGCTCGACGAACCTTATATATATACCTAAATAGTTATCTAACATAAGAAATTGATAACTCACTGGCTTTATCAAAGGTATCTACGTATTCACGCCATAAAAGTTACATCCCAAATACTTATTCTTAATAGAATTCTTTGGAGCACCGACAATTCAGGGGAGATGTGTCCAAGTTTAGCAGCGGTCACGAGTGGGAACAAAACAAAAAAAGACAATTGGAGGACGACTAATTTCGTCCTAGAAAGTAATAATTTCGCTTAATTCAAAGTCTCTATCGCTAGTCCCACTAAACATGTCCCTTTCAACGTTCTTCTAACACGCCATTCATTGGTGGACTGAATCAACGTTGCACTTGGATTGGGTAATTTTTTTGCAATCCTCCTAGACTTTTGGACTAGCTTTCTTGCCGTTTAGTCTAAGCAAAAAAAAACAAAAAAGTAAAGCAAATCAGAGAGTTCTACTTAGTGGAGGCCACCATCATTAATGGAAAGACTTTCAGCCTTTTCATGAAACTGAATGATTCGACTATTGAATCACCGTCCATAAAAAGACTAGAAAAGCTTTGTCTTTTTCTTCTTTTGGGTCAAAGGGGAGAACTTTAGCTTGAAAGTCCAACTTGCTCTATTAAACGTGCTTCAATGCTAAACTTTTTCTACTTCTTTTTTGTCAAACAAAGCGACGAATTTCCTCAACATATTGAGTGTCCAAATATTTTAAATTAAATCACGTGTTCATTAAATAATTTAGATTTTTTAAGGACGGTGGACAGTGATTTCACAAAATCTTATATTGACAAATACAAATAAGATTTGTACTCTATGTTGAGTGAGACTATTTGATTGAAGTTTTACTATTGAATTACCGTCTAATTATAAACGGAACTTATTTTCCCATAAAAGAAAAACAAATTGGGTCACTGAAGATCTTTTAGGCTGAAGGAGAAATTTCCTTGGATCCTCACTGGGTTACAATATCGAGAATCATAGAAAATTGATTAGTTTAAAATGAATTTTTCATTGACATATTTCAGTTACTATCTCATAAATTTATTAGATGTATGGGTTTCCAATAGCAATTATTTACAGGATTGGTATTTTATTGATATGGAGAAATTACCAAAAAAAAGTCCTAAACCAATTTTACTTGTGCCAATTTAGTCCTAAACTTTTCAATTTGGCCAATTTAATCATAACCCCATTGCATTTGTGCTAATTTAGTCCTAAACCTTTCAATTGTGCCAAAATTAATCATAAAACTTTTGACGATTTGCCATTTAGTTTTAAACTTTTTGACGATTTGCCAATTGAGTCATTCCGGGCAATTTTGGCTTGAAATTGCTGAAGTGAAATTCAACTTAGGGCCAGTGATCCTATATGGCATAGCCGGCGCTAACATAGACAAAATTTTAATTTTTTAAATAATTTAATGTATTTTTTTATTATTTTTTCTTCTTTTCTTTTCCGTTTTCTTTTCTAACCCTAGGTCGGCAAAGTCGCTGGCTAACCCTCGCTTGGTTTGGGCAAGGGACGCCCTCACCCAGATCCAGGCAAGGGCTGCAACCCTCGCCCGTTCACCACCCTTTGCTCACTGGCCGGCAAGGATTGACTAGCAACCTTGTTGGTCTAGGGTTAGGAAAAAGAAAGAAAATAAAAAGATTCACAAAAATTTTAAGAAATTATCCACGTCAATACCAGTCATGCCATGTAGGACAACCGGTGCTAGATAGACTGCCACATTAGAGATTTCCGTCCAAATTTGGCCTGAATGACTAAATTGATAAATCGTCAAAAGGTTGGACTAAATTGGCAAATTATCAAAATGTTTATGACTAAATTAGTATAATTAAAAGGTGTAAGACTGAACTGACATAAGTGCAATAGGTTTGGACTAAATTAGCCAAATTGAAATATTTTAGACTGAATTGGCACAAAAGCAATATGTTTAGGATTATTTTGGCAATTTTTCCTATTATTTTTCAAGTGACGAATCTCCGCTCGTGATAACATGTTCTACCCATAGTCAATTTGTTGTAATTCTTATAAAGTGTTGTATTACAGGAACACATTGGAATTCACAAGGAATAACAGTTTGTGCGGAAGGAAACTTTGTTTAAACTTGACAAAACTTTTGGAACGCAATGTGTTATGATGCGGATGGGTTTCTCAAGGACCCATAGAAGCCTCCAACAAAATTAAAGTAGCAATGGTACTTAATAATGAGGTTAATACTATCAAAAACTTAAACTGGTACATTCGTGTCACATTTACTCCAAACTAATTTTCGTGTCACCGAAAGTCTTATACTGGTGCACTCATGCCACATTTACCCAACACTACATTTCATATCACAACAAATCCTAAATTGAAAAACCATGACAAAAACATTTCATTAGCTTCCTTCCAATATCATTTAAATAGCTAACTTGGAAACAGACATGCCAAACAATTAGATGATCAGGCGTGTGACGTGGATTTTTAGTGAAAGATCCCAAACTGGAACACCAAACAGAAGAGCTTAAGCACATTAAAGTAACAACTTCTACGACCGACATACACAAAATGAAAGTTTTAGACCTTGAATAAATTATTGTGACAAGTTTTAGGACTTTGCATATAGTTGTCCCTATAAAAGTGTGAGTATAAATGTTTAGCTATATACCATTCGCATGAATAAGTTTTCTATAATGTATAATTCATGCTATTTTCTTACATATTCATATTACAAATGTAGAATAATGTTCATCACACATTAATACTATAGATATAAAGTTTCAAGTTACCCATCTATTTCAATGTTATCAAAAGAAGTTGTAATATCCCGATTTTACAAAAAGGGTAGTAAATTTAATGAGCTAATTACCTATTGATATGGCTTAAGAAATTATGGAATTTTACCGGGGTATCATTACTTTTGTTTCTCTAAAATAATTGGCCAAGGACTTATTTCGATATGTAATTTTGATGGTTAATTGCATAAAGATTCAACTTTTGGGAAGTTACCCAAACTTTACGTCTGGGGGAGGGATGGAGGGAGATTTTCGGGATACCGCCAAGGATGCCTTGATGTTTTCCCACGAATTTAGCTGTTAGCTGTTAGCTGTTAAGGAGTTTTAAATTGCCAAAAAAATAAGAAAAGTATATCAAGATTTTTTCTCTTTTTCCATTTAAACTTTAAAAAAGAAGTATCTTCAGATATACTCTTAATTCATATGGCTTGCTTTGAATATTATATCTTAAAGGGTTAATACCATGAAAAATCCCAAACTGGTACACTTGTGACAATTTTACCCCAAACTAATTTTTTGATCATGAAAAATCTCAAATTGGTATACCTGTGATAAATTTACCCTAAACTAATTTTTTGACAATCAAAAACCCCGAACTGGTACATTTGTGATAAATTTACCCTCCGTTAGTTTTCATTAAATTGAATTAATACCACAAAAAATCATAAACTGATACGTCTGTGACAAACGGAGCATAAAACATAAAATTGGTACATTCGTCAATTGCCGCTTGTCATTTAACAAAGCAGTTTGACAGTAAAATTTAATGGAAATAAACTGAGGGTAAATTTGTCACATGTATACCAGTTTAGGGGTTTTTGTGGTAAAAAAATTAGTTTGGGGTAAAATTATCACAGGTATACCAGTTTGAGATTTTTCGCAGTATTAACCCTATCTTAAATATAGTCTTCAATAATGTAAGTATTTAATACAATATAATCTCTTTAACCAAGAAAAAAATAAAGTAAATCATAAAATTTAAATTAGTAAAGTTGTCATGCATGAGCTCACCAAATATGACCTGTCACGTCTAACTATACATATTAATAAAATAAGAAAAATAATGAACTTAGCAACAGAGGAGATGCTGATCTTGGATTCATATTCCAATGTGGACAGACACGTACATCACTACACATTAATCATTCATTGATGTACAAAAAAAGTTTAAACAAAGTGGAGAGATAAGATTATACACATCACAAGAATTCAACTCACAGAAGCGCACAACAAGACAAAGAGCATCTCTCGAGACGACTCCCAAGCTGATTCCACCTTACGAATAAACAAAATGGAGTGCCAGTTTTCTATCTCTCTTCAAGAAAGACCACATGCCAAATCAAGTTGTAGAGAGAGAGAGAGAGAGAGAGAGAGAGAGAGAGAGAGAGGTCTCATCTGAAAAAGTCAGACCTCTCTCTAAAACCCCTCTTGAAAAAAGTTCCTGGAGACTTTCCTTACACAGCAGGTGGGTGTTTTTGAACGCGGTCAACGGGTCGACCACTCAAAAAATAAGGGGAAAAAACCCACCTGCAAAATAATAGGAGACTCCAGACTAAAAACCAGAGCCAATGTTTTGGCGTTCGCGAAGAGTTTGGTGTGGTCCGGATCGGAGAGAGTGATTCAGGGGCACCCTCTTTTTGCAGGAGATCACATGAAGTAGATGAAGAATTGCTATTAGGGTTTTTGTACGCTGTTGCTCGCCAGCTTCTGACGAGAGGAGAATTTTGCAGGAGATCACATGAAGTCCAGAAGAGCTCGACGCAGATTCCTCACGAGATCTCCCATTTTCATGCTGTATCCCACGTCCATCTGCAAGATATTTTTGTTTGATGGCGCAATAAATAATTTATTAAGAGATATGCCGACTGCAATAAGGAAAACTACCAAAACCAATATACTAAGCGATAGTGGTCTTTTTTTATCAGATCATGAAATATGTGGAGCCCCATGCATTAGATAAATAATTAACTTGGTGATTTTAGTAAGATTTATTTCTACATCTGATATTTCTCGGAAGACAAAAAATTAATGTGATGTTAAAGTCGGGAAAATTTTGAAGAAACTGTGGTTCTATATATATTTACCTGAGCTAAAATGGTAACATCTAGTATGGAACTCCCAAAGGGCATGATGCAATTGTTCACGATGGTTAGGTTCAGTTTCTCTATTTCGCTGATCATCTTCGGTATAAAGCCATTGCGCTTCTCACAGTGGATTTTGATGAGGACACAGTTTCCGGAGACTCGCGCCTCGATTTCTGGGAGCAAGAGTTGCTGGTCAATTTGGCCGCAAGAGTGCTCGTCGGACGAAGAATATGTGTCATCGTCCGTGGCAAGATGGGACTTCTTCACGACGACGACCGACTCCACAGTCTTCGCCGCTGCCGCCTCCTCCTCAAGGGCCTTGACGCGTTGTTGAAGCTCTTTCAAGTACTTGGTGGCATCCTCAAGGATGGAACCCTTGTCCATCTGAAATACGCAGTTAACATCAATGTTATAACATTAATGGGTCCCGTAATCCTTTAACAACGTGAAAATACTTTGAAATGGTTTTCTTTTATTAGGGATGAAGTAAAATATAGAAAATTATTAGCCGCGTGCGTCTAGTTCAAGCTAGTATTAGCACTTCTGTGGATTTTTTTTCCTTTTGTTTTCTTCACATACATCAAGTTCGCAAACTTAGGGTTTCGGTCATCTTACCAAGTTCCACGTCACCCGAAAAGCATCAAGATCAAGTTGTAATCTCGAAACAGAACAACTAAGCCATGTGATTATGGCGTATGACTTAAACGTATATAGCATAAATAATTCGAGAGAAGTTACTTTTAAATCCTCCACTTGAGCAAGTGGAACTCTTTCAACACATGTATGTGTTGCTTCTCTCTCCTCAGGTGCTAACAACTGAACTAATCTGTCCTAATCTCATGCCTAATCATACACACCCAATAATTTCCAAGCTTTTACAAGTTGTACCTTCTTAAGATTGGGAATGACGGCTGAGAGCGCGATGAAACGCTCACTGATCTTCTCGCGGCGCTTCCTCTCGGCTAGCACGTGCTCTTGTGCGTGTACCAGCATCCTGCTCGCCGCACCGGCGTTTTTCATCTTTGGTCCCTCACAATCTTGGATTTCATAAGTACCTTTGACACACATCAGAGCGAGACAGATATCCTTGAGAATATTAAATGAAAAAAGATTTGATTTTCAAAGTACTGATTTCACATACGAGACTTTGGTCTCTTGCAAGACTTTACCATAGATCGGATTGGATATGGCTGGCGAAGACTCCGGGTTCCCGAACGATATCAAGTGGGAGTCAGGAGACCGAGAAGGAGATGGAGACGGAGATGGGGATATCAACACGTTGCGAGTCATCGTTCCGTGCTCCGGTGCGCTCGGAGAGTTCCAGCTCTCGGTCTTGAGCTGTTTCCGGGGCCTTTCAGTGAACTCTTGAGGATTTTTGACGGATTGGGCGGTCAAACCGGGCATCGCGTCGGGGCTAATAAGAGGGACCAGATAGGATGGTGATGAGTTCGAGCAGGGCTCTGAAGGAAAATATGGATGGAACAAATCAAACTCATCATCAAGTGAGAAGGACGAGTTCAGTTGTTGCTGATGATAATGATGGTGATGGAAATAGGCTGCATCTTCAACCATCTGTGGATATTCACCCCAAAAGAGGGAAAACAGAGAAGAATCAACATGAGATTGAATATATTGATTGGTGCTTCCATTTTCAAAGAAATTTAATCACGAAAAACGGAAAGGAGTGTTACTTCGGGAAATACTCTAGCCGATAAGATCTCCATCGGATCACCTCCTTCTTCTTCCGGGTCCTCTAATCACCCTGAACAAAAAACGAAGACAAAGACATTAAGGAAAGATAGGAACAAGCAGTCATCGAAGTTCTAAACTCAATGTAAAACAAGAGGAAAGGAAACAAGGTCATCACCTGCGAAGAACTACAGAGAGAAGCGAAGCTTAATTGAGCGATGGTGGGCTTGAAGGAACAGTTGCTTTCATTTATATGCGAGCAACCACACGCGTTCTAGGCGACGATTCCGACCTCGCACGCGCGAAATATTCGTCTCCCTTTGCGAGCTGGCTCCTGTTCACATGTGGGAGATGGCTCTTCCGTCAAGCCACAGACACAACCATAAATCTCTCTCTCTCTCTCTCTCTCTCTCTCTCTCTCTCTCTCTCTCTCTCTCTCTCTCTCTCTCTCTCTCTAATATTTTGTGAGTCAAAAATATTTAGTTGCGCTAATCTTTTATAGGTCTCTCTCTCCCAAATAAATCTGCTATAACCGGAAATGCTTAGTCGTGCTAATGTTTTCGAAGATCTTGTAAAGAATGTCTTTGAACACCCCTTATACTTAATAAAGAAAGATTGTCGTGTTCAATACATTGATTAAGCGTAGTACGAGAGAGACAATGCATTGAATATGATAATCTTTCTTTCTTTAGGTAATTAACAAGTGCATTGGCATACCTGTTAATGAAATCCTATTCTATGCTATCTTTTTTTTGTGTAAAAGGGTTGAATAAACAACCAGATTTTGATATCTCCTTAAACATTATTACGAGGGTTTTGCACAAATGGGGTCGGATGTTCCGTTTGAGTCATAACTACTACTCATTGAATAAGCTCATCACCGACGCATAACCAAATGCGAGTTAGAATAAAATTGGAGTTATCCCTACACTTGGAACAAGTGAAGCAACGTAATAGACGAATTAGGATTTCCTAAGATTAAAGGACAACCAGGAAATTCGAACAAGAGACACTTCAAACTACATGAGATTAAATTTTAATCACTTCGCCCTACAATCTTGTTTATATAATCTTTTACTCACGACAAGTCAATTCCAACATACTATGCCAAACTACGAAGCATAACAATTAACAACCAATTAGTAACGCAGCATCTACCGAGTTTCATTTCAACTTCCAAACTTGCGACCAAATGCCCCTAACAACCTATTTTGTCTTAATCTAAAATGGTTTTCAATTAAAAATAGCAAGAAATATTCTTGCATTCTGCACTGAATCTATATAAGATATTTGTGAAGAAAGGAATTAAAGGGTCGGAGAAGATGCACGTTCAGTGTAAACCAAAGTGGATGTCCCATTTTGATTTTTAAATGAATCAATATGTCAGAATCACATCATCAAGTGTATATAGTGTCAGCTAGATTAAGAAGATATTGGGTAGATTTAATACGACTTAAAAAAATAACCGGGCCAGATTTTTTTTTTTTGGTCTAGAACCGGGCCAGATTGGACCCTATAAAAAAGTAGCAACTTCCATATTATTTAATATTTATTCAACGAATCTGTCAACATTATCTTTCCAATTTTCTCGGATTGTGGGAAGAAGACAAATAAAAACACTCCTGAACACCATCCGGGCCGTCTATACCGATGATCAATCAAATCAGTGAAAGCTGACTTGGGACACCAACCACATAACGAAATAGTTAAGCCACCTTGTTGCACCAATTACCAATGCACGTCCCATTAAACAAATTAAATCAAATCCTAGATGTAGATCAGGATCTAATAATAGATTACTTCAAAATTGCTGTATTTATAGAAAACAAACATGTTGTATTTGTTTTACTCTGTTTATAGAGTATAATTTGATTTCAAAAGGACAAGTTGCTTTGTTTCTTTTATTCTAACTCCGTTGAGCCGGAAAACGGCCTCTCAACCAAAGAGACAAATTACGCACCTGTCAAGAAAAACCAAAATTCTCCGTCTCATTTTTGAGAAAAAATTAGATGAAAAAGCCTAAATTTTTCTTAATGTGACATCAATACTGCGAACTTTTTTTCATTCACTAATACCTCAACTTGTACTAGTGACCCAAAAATACATTTCATTACGACTCTGTTCAAGACTACCATTAAAGATCTGACGTGGTGACTTGCATAGATAACGGTAGACAAATGAAGCTGACGTGGATCTAATGTGACTTTAGCCTAGTCCAAAGCAAAGTCGTTTCTTTTTGGAAAAAATCACCAAGAACCCAAACTTAATATCCCAAATTTTTTGTCGTGTCACCAATTATCGAAACTTGTCCAGTGATCCAAAAGAACCTTTCGTCACAATTCGTCAGAAACGGCCATTAAAAATCTGACGTGGTGGCTTGTGTGAACAACCGCATACAAATGGAGCTGATGTGGATCTAATGTAGTTTTAGTCTAGTCCAAAATGACGTCGTTTTTCCATCCTATCGACGAACAGTGAAATTATATAATCACTTTTATCAAAGGTGAGACTCTCTACTCTTAATGATAGATCATTATAAAATTGTACAATTGAAATATATGATGAGCTTGGACGTCATTTTCATAGACCTTACCTATGTAGGTGAACTTTCTAGTCATGAAACCGATCCGACTACAATAAATCAATTGGGTGTGATTGAAGTAACACTGTTGCAGGTTAAAGAAAGTAACCTCCACCACCCCCCCCCCCCCCGGGCGTTAAAAAAGAAAGAAAGACTGAAGTGGTATTTCCTCTTTTAAAGGTTGATAAAATCATTCCAATGCAACATGACGAAATGCTTGCGTTTTCCTTACATCATCAATAACGAGTTACGTGGGAACAGGTTATAGTACTGTATAACCAAATTGTTAAACTTCTTCGGTCGGTTCAAATTTGCATTATTTGGATGGTAAGTTTATTGCCTTATTTAGACATGGATTTTCGAATCTTAAAAGAGGGTTGTTTACACAGATTGAATTGCGACGTTTGAGGAAATAGATGGTCCCATAATGATTAGTTTATAGAGAGTATCATGCCTTAAAAAAACCACGTTGTCTTATTGTATACATTGTTTCCACCTGCTTCAGAACAAGTTGCAACATCCGCTAGACGATTCGTGATTTGACTCCATCGTGAAGTTGTCACATTGGAACAATTCTTTGTACCCTATCACCGGAAATGACACTCTAAGTACGTGCGACAATCTTTTTATAATTTGAAGAAGAACCAAAATTCGACCAAAAAAAAAAAAAGAAGAACCAAAAAGTAAAGGAAATACATTAGAATGGTTGTTACATGAAAATGCCAATTTACATATAGGAATCACGAGAGATTTAAGAAATAACACGATATTCTTATATTTTTTTGAATTATTATTTTTGTGATTAAAAGGTTATTGTTCATCTTCGAGTATGCAATTTTTTTTAAGATTGACGTTAAAAGTTGTCTTGCCTTGATAAGATTGACAGACTATATCTATTATCTTATCCATCCTATCTAAAAAAAGGGCCTAATAAGTTGTCCTAACGTATGTTTCCCTTTCAAAGTTACTATACCTTACCGTAAAAAAGAGAGTTATATATCTATATATATAGTACATGGAAAGCGAGATTAGCGTAAAGAGGAGGTGCAGGGCAAAAATAGCCACATCCATCCCTACTCCCACCCGATGCAGGGACTAGAGCAATGCACATATCTGGTTTTGAGCGGGTGAAATTATCATCACTAATCGTTTCTAAATCTCTCTTCTTTCTTTCATGTTCTAATAGAAAAAAAAATCATACATATGAAATATTATTTGTGATTCTTCTAAATACTCAAATATTTGTCCTCTTGGCTCTTGAATATCCAATTTGAGGCATAAAAGCGTTAATAGAGGTTGGTTGTAGTAGATATTTAATTTATACATAAATACATAAGAATATATATATATATATATATATATATATATATATATATATATATATATACCTTTTATTTACCTAATTATACTTGAAACTTTTTTGATATGTAATCAAAGGGAAAAGGCTACATTATCTGCCAGATGTATGTATTTTCCAAATTTTTGGAGGTCGTCAACTTTACCATCTATTGCCTTATACTTTTCTGTTAAATAGAAAGCATATTTGACAAGAAATTAAACGTCAAAATTTTGTTAAAATTCCATAAAAAGAAATGCCCCATGTCTTTTGTTAAGATATAGTGTCGAATATAGAGTGTTGGATTGTCCGTGCTCAAATTAGTCAAGTCTCTTTGAAACTACCATAAGTTGCTAGCAGGCGGGAACACATGAAACATGACAATCTTATCTTATAAGTTTTTTTTATTTGTATTATTAAGAATAATAAACAAAGCCAAACATCATTTTGTTTTCCCTTTTTTCCTTTTATATTTGGCCAAACCACCCCATTAGAGTTGGAGCCAACGAATTAGTAATTAGCAAACAAAGTTGAGGGACGAAGGAATGTGAGACAGCTTGATAGGGATGACTTTGAAACGAGGACACCCAATTATTGAAGAGTGATCTAGAAGCTCCATCTTGGGATTTGGTTTCCGAGAAAGCATGAATATGTCGATAACATATTTTCCAACATCCCAACATGTTAGCGGGTAGTCATCACGACGTCTTTGTGTGCTTCATCACATTTTTCATTGATTCATCACAAAATGAGGATTGAATTTTGTTAATTAAAGGGTGGAGTGGCACAATCAGCGTTAATTTCTTGCATGAGTACAACCATAATAGTCCTGTACTCACTTTGGACGTTCGATTTGAGACTAAGTTACTCAGTACTATCTAGACGCTAAGGTTCGAGGTTGACGAATCTGTCATGGTAACATGTGGACTTTCACATTGCCAGTCCCTAGCTCTTTTTGCCACGATGTAGCAGAGTCCAAGAGCCCTACAGTATAAGATAATCAGAAGTTTGCTCATAACATAATTCGAACTTTATAACTATTTTTTTGTAACCTTATGAAAGAGGGATTGAGCACTCAATCACTAGGCCAACTGCACTACGTGGTTGGCCTTCCCCCATAGGACACTATATCAGATCTAGCTTCCCAAACGATGACATTTAACAGACCCATTTATTTTGAATTTCCACATCGGTTCCACATCTTACGCCAATTATCCTAGTTGCTTACTAGGTATGTTTCGACGTCAACAATTTAACAAGATATTGGACAGAAGCTAACGAATGGTAGATTTGTTATGGATACTCCAATTTGGGATTTTTTTTGTTACACAAAAATTATTATGTAGTACATATGGCACAAATGTATCAGTTCAGGATTTTTCATGATATTCACTTTATGTTGACACTTAAATTTTGGCTAACCATTTAGTGATTAATTTGCATAGAAAATTAGGGATTAAATTTTAACCCCTAAACAAAAATATTAAAATTGCATAGCATATAGTTTAGGATCATATAGATTAATTGCATTCCACATTGAACCAGCGGTGGCAAGCGAGCTTAAAATTCATCACATAAACCGAGTTCGGGCACCGAATGTGTCACGCCCCGAACCCCAACGGGCTCGTGACACCCCTCGATGGTCGATCATTGAACGCGACGTCCCAGGACGCGTCGCCGACCCAAACGAAACACCAAATGATAAAGGCAAGCGGAAGAGAAATAGAAACAACCCAGACAATAGACAATGACAACGGGCTAGCATAGGTACAAATCAACAAACGCATTTCATAAAACTGACAGTCACTTACAACATTAAATCTAGGTTACTAGCTTCAAAACCACATTTATCCAAAAGGGGGCGGTGGTTGGGTAGCCTACTTCACTATACAAAAAGGGGGCATCCAATAGATGAACGGAGCATCAAATGCCCAAAGTACTCCTGGTCTCTGGACCGCACGTGACGACTAACCGTCACTCCAAACCTGAAAATGTTTAATAACGGGAATGAGATAAATCTCAATAAGCAGACCCCTAAACCCCACATAGGCCAATGCGTACCCAGACAAGTTCAGCATGCAATCTAACCGATTACATATATATAATTCACATAAATGGACTTACCTCGCCATCCAATCACATGCCCACACTGCACATTAGTCAAATCATGATAATGCAATAATATCCCAAAAGTACATCACAATCACTCGAACGCCATACATACGTACATTCAGCCAATTCATCCATGCACATAACACATGCGCATCCATCCAACTTTTTCACGACCCGGGTCAACACCCCACAGGTCAGCCCTCCGATCAATCCGAGCTCTGTCCCGGGTTAACACCCCACAAGACCTTTCAAAAATAAACTTTCACACGACCTGGGTCAACACCCCACAGGTCAGCCCTCCTATCAATCCGGGCTCTGTCCCGGATCAACACCCCACAGGACCTTTCTTACTTTCTCACGACCCACGTAAACACGCCTCAGGTTAGCCCTCCGATCAATCCGGGCTCTGTCCCGGGTCGACACCCCACAGGACCTTTCTTACTTTCACACGACCCGGGTCAACACCCCACAAGTCAGCCCTCCAATCAATCCAGGCTTTGTCCCGGGTCAACACCCCACAGGACCTTTCAAAAACAAACTTTCACACGACCCGGATCAACACCCCATAGGTCAGCCCTCCGATCAATCCGGGCTCTGTCCCGGGTCAACAACCCACAGGACCTTTGGACAATCACATACGCCACAATCACATACGCCACATGATTCAATCAATTTCCACGCCATATTCAAGGTTCAATAACATTAAATCAACTCAGCCAGGATCAGCCCGCGCGCCACAATTCATTCATCATTCTAGCACATTAAACCCCATCTACCATTGCAAGCCCGAGCCCATATGATATGGATTAAACCGACCACGAATAATTAACACGAATCATCGCCAAGCAAATATTGAATCACACACGAACAATCCAAAATCGCGGCATAAATTCCAGCATCAACGGCCCCCAACTCAGCACCAAAATCGGCCATAAATTGCCACGATTCAATCCACATTCCGACCCTAATCACTCACCCCTAACCAGCCCACGTATCAGCCACCAAATCGCGCTAAACGGACTCCGAATCGGCCCAAACAGCCCCTAATCAGTCGCAAATCTCACACTAAACAACCCCTAAACAAGTCTAATAATACACAAAGTCCTATACAAGGTTTAGGGTGTCGCTTACCTCGACTTGAGCAAGAAAACGAGGCTGGGCAGCGGGGGGAAATCGTCGGGACAGCCGCAGCGACGGCGATCAGCGAGGCTCTCGGCCACTGCCGGGCGACAGCGGCAGCAAGGGAGCTCCGGCTGAGGCGGCAGCAGCTCGGCGGCAATGGGGGCGAGCAGGGGCCTCGCCGGAACAGTAGCAGCTCCGGCAGACGCGCGGCGACTCACGGCGGCGACGAGTCGGTGGCTGGAACAGGGGCGGGAAGGAGCTCGGCTGAACCAGGGAGGAGGGGGGGAGAGAGAAGCAGCTTGGTGGGGGCGTGAACGGCGAGCGGCCGGTAGCTGGACGGACGGGCGGCGGTTGCTGGCCGGGCGGCGAGCGGCGGATCTGGTCGGTCTCGGCTCCGGCGCGACCAAAGGCAGCGCGAACAGGGGAAGAAAAGGAAGAGGAGGGGCGACGACAACAACTCCGGTCTGGGACGAGCGGCCGACGGCGAGCTGGGCGAGCGCGCAGCCGACGAGCTGGGGCGGCGGAGGCTCGGCCAAAACAGGGGATGCAGACGCGTCGTCGCCGGAGCAGCAGGGGCGACGGCGGCTTGGGGGGGTGAGCTAGGATGGTGGCGGCGAGCCGGTGGGGGGCGATGGCGGCCGGAACGGCGGCGTGTGGCGGTCGCGGGCGAGGCAAAACAGGGGAGGAGTCGGGGCGAAGAAAACAGGGGAAGGGAAAAGAGAGGGGGGGTCGCGGCGGCGATGGCGCGGCCGGCTGGGCGAGCGGCGGTGCAAGGCGGACGGCGCGGCGGCGGTAGGGCGCGGCGACGAGCAGCGGCGAGCAACCAGCAAGAAGCAGCAACAGTCGGGGGCAGGAAGGAGGAAGAAGAAGAGAAGAAAAAGAGAAAGGAAAGAAAAGGGAAAAAGGAGGAGAGAGAGAGAAGTCTGTGCATGGCTAGGGGAGGAAGGGACGTGAGCGCAGGGGGGACGTGAGCGCAGGGGAGGCGTGCGAGTAGCTGGCGCGGCAGAGAGACGTGCGCGTAGCTGGCGCGGCAGAGGGAGAGAGAGAGAGAGAGAGTCAACGCATCGAGTGCGATCTAACGGCCGGAATTCAAATTTGAAAATGATCCTACGGTTCAAATTAATCTTAGAATATAATAAAGGATAAAAGCGAAATTAATTAAATCACATTACATCGAGAGAGGTCTACTAGTCCAAATTCACACCCGATCAAAAATCCATTTTTCATATATCCCGGGCAATCTCGAGGCTGGCCATAATAATATCGACACCGTCCAATTAAATTCGACCCGGAACTCCGAGAAATTCAACACCAAAGTTTGGGCTCTAAATAACGGCCAAATTCGATCAAGTGCGATTCTAGCGAAATCTCTAATTTAAAAAAAATAACCCAGGAGTGATCAGTTCCGGGCGAGATTTTATTATAAGCGCACTGACGAAATACCCGTTTTATAAATCTCAAAAATGGGCCGAAATTCGGAATGTCACAGAATGAAACTCGGCTCACTCAGGAAATAGGGGCAGAAAATTACAAGACAAAAGGGGCTTGGTTGTCTTAATTTGAGCTTAAATTAGCCCATCAAGTTTAATTGAATAAAAGCCCAAATTAATTCAGCCAACTTGGAATTAAATAAAAATTAAAGGATATAGCCTAAGCCTAAGCCCATTAAGACTAGAAAGCCCGGTAAATTAACATAGGGTTGCAATATAAATATTTGATTTTACCCCTCAGTCAAGGGAGGCTCTCGTAATTTTCAAGATCAGAATTTTCAGATAGAGCACAAGTGAGAGTGAGAGCAAGAGCAAGAAAGAAACAGAGATAGAGAGAGCAAAGGAGGACCAGTTGTGCCTCCCCACGGCTGACCGTCGCGCCCGTGCCTGCCATTGTGCCCGCGCTCGTGCTTGCTCCTGCGCCTACACCCGTGCCTGTGCCCGCGCCCGTACCTACGGTCGCTCCTGCGCCTACTCCTGCGCCCGTGCCCGCGTCCGCGCCTACGCCCGCTGCTGCGCCCTTGTCCGTGCCCGTGCCCATGCTCACGCCCACACTTGTGCCCAGTTGTTGCCCCAACATCGTCCATTCACTGCACTGAGCCCGCTACTGGTCACCCCAAGTCTCGACGCCAAGCCTCCGCTGTCCCGGTGCCTCGTGGCGTCCTAATATTGCCGTGGCCTTATTTTTGTTTTGCAGATTGACCAAGAGCACCATCGCACCCGCCGCTGGCCACCCCGTCGCCATCCCTCGTTGAGCCTCCATTGCCGCCGCCTCTCATCGTTGCTGCCGCGTCCGCCGTCGATCACCCACCGTCGATCACTGTCCCAATCCACAATCCCGACGATTCAAATTTGGAAAGTAATCCGCAAATCAGGTAAAAATCTCTATCCGGTATATTTTCAAAATATTTAGATTCCTAGTTTGAATATTCTGAACATTCCGTGAATATTGTGTGGATTGCTAGATATCTTAGGATAATGTGTGCTATATCCGTAATATTTGAAAACAATCAAAATTAGGATAATAATTATCCTTAATTTGATAACGTATCTAGACGACTATCCGACCTTATCCCTAAGGTACAATATGCAGCGATACGGAAATCGTTATCTCATCCATAACTACTTGGATACGATAATCGATTTTATCCGCTTTCCAAATTCAAATAATCGACTCTCCGTCGATATCTATAACCCTATAGATATGACCGTTAGTTCGATTCTCTTTCTTAATTCAAATTTGATAAGAAGAATCTTGCAGATTGAGTGGATTGTTTGAATGCCGTTGTTATCTTTGTTTAATTGTTTTTTTTAAATAAAGAAAAATCCAAAAATATGTTAAATAGGATTTCAATTAGAAGTTTTGCATGTTTAGGGAATCCTAAATGTATCTAGAAGATAGGATAATTATTTAGTTTAAATTGGGACTTAAGATAATTTATTTCCTAGTTTAAATTAGGTGTTATTCTAATATATACTAATAGATTATTTAGGTTATTTTTAGATTCCGAATTTCCATGAAAATCCCAAAAAGAATGAGTTACTTTAGGATAGATTAGGATAGATTGCATTCTTAATTGGAGTAATTTTTTTATTTCGAATTTAAACAAAAATACCAAAAATATTGCTCTAGAATAGATTAATTTGTTTCCCAATTAAACATTGCATGCTTAGGTAATAAGTATTTTTAATTCCGAATTTCATTTAAAAAATACCGAAAATAAATCATTTGTCCGTCATTAGGATTAGGTCACGTCGTCGCATGACATATAGTTCGCTTGCTAAGTTTCATTAATCACATCTCAATTTTTGCGCGTCATTGCATATATGTTAGTTTACATTTTAATAAAGCGCAAATCCTAAAGAACACCTTGAGTGCCTTGCTTTATTAATTAGAAATCATATTAAGATTGTCTGTATGATTTTCTAGCTAACAATGCAGATGCTTGCGTTACTTTAAGGTATGTTATTCTCCTTATCTAGCAATTTATTTATTGCTTTCCTTATTGGGTGTTAAATTGGTGATTTGCGCACCCACATGAATACCTTACATGTTAGTGATTAAGTAATAAAATGGATCCAGACTATCTGCTTAAATATTTTTTTGAAAAGAAAAGGTACCGAAAGGGCTTTAGATTAGATATAGCGTAATCAAGTCTCCGAGCTTAGGACCTATGGTTCGTAGAAATAAAACATATCTTTCAATATTTTATTTAGGTTTATAATCGACCTACCGCAAATAGATTAGTGGCGATTCCAAGCACGAAAACTTTTGCATGTTAAAAACTTTAACCTTAAGTCGTGAATTGGTAGGGATTGGGAGGACCCGAATTAGACTTAGTCTTAATAATCTATTAGCTTGAGAAATTTAGGTCGCAACACTTTAGTTATATTTCATTTTCATGGTTTAACGTGAATTTCTTTATTATTTATTTCCAGCAATTTTTACGGTAGAATTGTTTGAGAATTATTTCCAGCAATTTTTTCGGTGGATGTTGTACTTGAGGATATTTCTTTACTCGAACGTAATTACAAATTATCCTTTTTAGGGAAAAACATTAAAGCAAAAGGCTACGCTTATTTCCATCAATGGATATAATCTGTTTCTGTCATTTTAAGTAGGTTACTGCATGACATAAGTTGCAATTTTTGGACCACATGCGCCGACAATTTGCCATATAAAGGGGTCATTATGTTATATGTGCATTGCCATTTTATGTTTGTAAGCACCTAGAGTTTGATAAGAACAAGATGATTTTAACAATGACATTATTGCTAATGCTTCATGACTGCGTGTCTATTTCATCATCAATCAAAAAGCGAATTGAATCACGTGATATTAATATAATCGAAATCGCGCCGGTCCTTTTATTGGCTTTCACATTTAATTGGTTTAGAATACCTACGTATTATGCCGTGTATGCGTAGACTTTGACTTTTTCTTTCCAAAGAAACAAATAAATATTTTTAAACCTGAAGGTTTTTTTTCTTTTGTCTGGAAATATACTTCTCATTCACTTAGGAAAGTTGGAGAATATAAAACCATAGTTTCTGAACAAAGTAAACCATAGGACTCGAGGGGGATAAATTGTCCAATTTCCAGGGAGCGCTTTTTTTCCTTTAGGCTTTAACAACCCAATTTGCAATTCGTTGGAGTCCATGTTACAGTGGGACAGTTGAAAATCCAAAAAGCATACTAATAGATCACGGCTTTCTTCGATAAGCACATGCACTTCCCACTTACGGTGATTTGTGCCTGAGAGTACTCTTATGAGATCAAGATCATCTTACTCGAGAGAGAAACTCTCGTGCGGCTAGGTACTTTAGGGTTTCTGTAACAACCCGGTCTTGCGAGGGATGGGGGTGCGGCTCCACCTCGAGTATGGTGAAGGGGGTAGGAATGAACCAAATCCCACATCGCCTAGGGAAGATGAAGTGATGTGCTATATAAGGTGTAGCACCAATCTTAACCACCAATGAAGTCTTTCCTGGGCGAAGCCCAGAGGAACAAAACCGAGAGGGCTACGGCTCAAGCGAACAATATCATTGGCAAGTGGGGCCAAAGGTCGGCCCTTACAATGGTATCAGAGCTAAACCTAGCCGGAAGTGTGTGGTTCGAGAACAAATCAGGCGAAAGCTGGTGGACATGAAACGACCCGGTCCTGTGAGGGATGGGAGTGCGGCTCCACCTCGAGAATGGCGAAAGGGGCAGGAATGAACCGAATCCTACATCGCCTTGGGAAGGTGAAGTGTTGTGCTATATAAGGTGTGAAGCGATGTGCTATATAAGGTGTAGCACAATCTTGACTACCAAGGAGACCTTTTCTGGGCGAAACCTAAAGGAACAAAACTGTGAGAGCTGCAGCCCAAAACGGACAATATCATTGGCAAGTGGTGCCAGAGGTTGGCCCTTACAGTTCGTGGCGGACAATATCATTGGCAAGTGGTGCCAGAGGTTGGCCCTTACAGTTTCCACGAACGCAAGCACTTCCAAATGAACCAAAGGACCACAGCTATAAATCAATCGAAGGTGATTGATTGCGGAGTGTTAGAGAATTCCAACTTAAAAATTGGAGGTCACCCGTTACCGCATGCAATCTTCTCTAGGTTAAGGCTATCTCCATCGGATAAAATCTGGACTTAGCCGATTCATAAGGATTACAGGATATTATTTATATGGTTCTCCATGTAGTCGACTCTTTGCATTTGTGCCTTGAACTATTAAAAAAGAATTGCAAAGAACCACCGCAATCTTCTATTTTCCATCTCAGGTTACTGTGTGCACCAAAATTTTAATATGCAAAATGCTCTTTTAAAGAAGGGATTCAGAAGATCAAAATACTCCATATCCTTTCATGTGGTCTTCTTCTATGTCCTTTATGGTCGTCTTCGTAACACTCCGAGCTCAAAACCCCGACTCAAACCACGCTCCTTCATCACGAAATTAATTACAAATAAACCCCAAAAAGATAAATTGAAGGTCCTTAATTCTTCAATATCACAACATAATCACCCTGGTAATAAGCTTAAAAAACTAATTCCACCGAATATATAAACTCCAACATTATAAACAGACCAAACTCAACATGCAAAACCATAAGTAAGTTGGCCTCACTGCCGGGTAAAAGGATCGCTAGCTCAGTAAGTAACTCAACACCTCAATTAAAGGATGGAACAAGTCAGAAGATGCGAAGACATTGATCCGTATATGTTTTTCTTGGGCAAAAGAACACCAGAAGTGCCATAAGTTGTGTACGGAGGTCACTTTGGTGTCATAACTTTTTTTCGAATCACTTTGGTGCCAAAATCGGAGGAAAATAGATCACTTTAGTGACTCCGGCCACAATTCCGGCCAAAAAGCTGATGCGGCATTTATATTTAAAAAAAAATAGTCTGACTTGTACACGTGAAAATTATGTGGCTTTTTTTCGAATTTTTTTAATCTTTTTTTTTCCTAACTTTTTCCCGGTTCGCCGGTCCGGCGAACCTGCGACTAGCCAAAGGGGAGGGCCAGCGAGGCCGACCTCGCCGGCCTCTGGCGAAGCTCGCCTCGCCGGCCCCTGGCTGGGTGAGGTCGCCTTGCCCAGCAAAGGCGAGGCCAACCTCGTCGTCGTCTGGGTCACGACGGCGAGGTCGGCCTCGCCTTTGCCGGGCGAGGGGAGACCTCGCCGTCGCGACCCAGGAGACGGCGAGGTCGGCCTCGCCAGATTTGGCGAAGCTCGCCCCGCCGGCCACTGGCGAGCTTCGCCAGATCTAGCGAGGCCGACCTCGCCGTCGCCTGGGTCGCGACGGCGAGGTCTCCCCTCGCCCGGCAAAGGCGAGGCCGACCTTGCCGTCGCCTAGGCGAGCTTCGCCAGATATGGCAAAGCTCGCCCCGCCGGCGAGCTTCACCAGATCTGGCGAGGCCGAACTCGCCGTCGCGACTCAGGCGACGACGAGGTTGGCCTCGCCTTTGCTGGGCGAGGCGACCTCGCCCAGCCAGGGGCCAGCTGGGCAAGCTTCACCAGAGGCCGGCCTCGCCGGCCCTCCCCTTTGGCCGGTCGCCGGACTGGCGACCGAGAAAAAAAAAGATTAAAAAGA